TAATAAAACATAGAGGTGAGAGAATATGATTGGAGCATTTCATCGTCTTTTTTTTTTAAATTTTCTTAATTGAGAATTTTTAGCAATCGAAAAAAATTAATTGAATAAATTCGAAAAGATCATTTCCTTTGAATGAAAATATAAATTGTTATGAAATAGATGACTTAAAAAATTTTGTATATAACACTTTCTGAGACACTTTGGACCTCTTTTAACATTACAATTTTATTGCTATAATCTTTATAAGAATTTTGGTTAAATATATTCTTCAAAGGATCAAGTCAATTCATAAATGGGCTGAAGTTATAGATGACTGATAAGAATAATCCATCGACATCTAGAATGGACCGCTGATGGCAATGGTGGGGGTAGAAAGACGATTAGAGTGAGAGGCAGGAATAATAACATCGTTCTTTCTCTGTTTACTGTTGTTTCTAATTAGCCTGATTGGTTGTTGGATTAACAACAACCAATCAGACTTCAGTAAACAGAGAAAGAACGATCTTATTATTCCTGTCTCTCACTCTATTCGTCTTTCTACCCCCACTATTGCCATCACCGGTCCATTCTAGATGTCGATGGAATAATCGCATGATATTCAAGCACATGACGTTTATCACAGCTGATAACGCTGACAATGACTAAGCAAAAAGGAAAGATAAGTGAACTTGGGAAAATACATTTACTAGACTGCTGCATATTATGTATTCATCGAATTGGAACATACAAATTATGTATCATTTTGGAAAATTAAAATCAGTGTTTTACAGGCAAGTAGCATACAGCATTTTCTCAGTATTCTTTTGTTGTGCTCATTACTCATAAATCACGTATTAATTATACACTAACGTAATTGCAGGAGTCAGTTAACCTCGTACGCCCAAAATTCACATCAATCGGTTTCGCAGATTAACAAAATCAACAAGGTCAGTTTTTAGAATGACTATCACGTAAGAGACATGCTTATCGTAATGTAGGTCTATTTTAACAGATCCTGATAGCAAACCGTGGAGAGATAGCATGTCGTATAACAAAAACTGCCAAAAAACTTGGTATAAAGACCGTGGCTGTTTACAGCGAAGCAGACAGGAATTCTATGCACGTGGAACAAGCTGATGAAGCTTATTGTATCGGTCCAGCTCAATCTAGCCAGAGTTACTTACGAAAAGACAAGATTATATCAGTGGCCAAGCAGGCAAAATGTCAAGCCGTGCATCCTGGATACGGATTCCTCTCGGAGAATACAGAATTTGCACAATTATGTCAGAAGGAGAATATTATATTTATTGGTCCTCCAGCCAGTGCCATACGAGATATGGGTATAAAGAATACCTCGAAGGCTATCATGACTAAAGCTGGAGTTCCTATCATAGAAGGTAGATATTTTTTTTCTATTCTGGTACTATATATATTAAAACAATTATCTTTCTCAAAAAAAATTGATGCCTATGCAAGCTAAGCACTGGATATCCGCGTGCAAATTATTTAATACAAACTGTACAGACGTTTCCTAATGTGGATCCTTCTCAATATCTCAATCAACTTAAATTAATATAACAATAAAGAACGTTGATAGTAAACATCTAACATAATACAATTATAAATCGAATAAAACTTGTAGCCGTGTCTTTTGCTGCAGTAAGAAGTTATGGAGTCCAAGTGTATTTTCAAAATAATTACCAAATTAACTGTATAAAATTAGAATTAAAATGGGACATATAGGATAAATAATAAATAAATAATTAGATTTACATGATAAAATGTCAAGACATGTCAATCAAAAAAAAAAGTACATTTTGTTTTTCGTAACCATATAAACAACGCAGTCAAAACTAAACAATATATGTATAAATATATGTATAAATATAACAATAAGTTAAACATAAATGAAACAGAATTATATAATTCATGATAACTAAAAAATTAGACTTGCATAAAAGAATATATGTCAAGTAAGTAAGACCATATGTCGTTTTTATTGAATTATCTTTCTAATATCCTAAATATTTATAGGATATCACGGTGATGATCAGACAAATGAAATTCTATTGACAGAAGCCAGGAAGATTGGCTTTCCATTAATGATCAAGGCCGTGCGCGGTGGTGGCGGAAAAGGTATGAGAATCGCTCAGAAAGAATCCGATTTTGTTGAGGCATTGGAATCGGCAAGAACTGAATCCGAAAAAGCATTCGGTGATTCAGCAGTGCTTCTGGAAAAATATGTCGCCGAACCTAGGCATGTAGAAGTACAGATTTTTGCTGACAAACATGGAAACGCCGTTTTTCTGTTCGAAAGAGATTGTTCTGTACAAAGGAGACATCAAAAAGTGATTGAAGAAGCACCTGCTGTATGAATCTTTATTATTAAGATTTATGAAACAATAGAAGAGACTAAAACGATTATATATGACTCTATTTTACAGCCTGACATTTCCCAGCAGCTCAGGCAACAACTGGGCGAAGCGGCTGTCCGTGCAGCTAAAGCTGTAGGATATGTGGGTGCTGGAACGGTAGAATTCATAATGGATCGGAACAATCACAGTTTCCACTTTATGGAAATGAATACACGTCTCCAGGTAGAACATCCCGTTACCGAGGCAATTACCGGTTTGGATTTGGTTGAATGGCAATTGAGAGTTGCTAGTGGTGAAGAACTTCCGCTAAAACAAGAACAGATTACATTTAACGGTCATGCATTTGAAGCAAGAATTTATGCTGAGGTAATCGCTATCATATTATGTTTATTTATGTCTCACATGACAAAATAAGTATAATATAAGCGCAATTTAATTTATTATTGAATGGATTTATCATTGTTATAATATCACAGAATCCAAGGAATGGTTTCTTACCAGGAGCAGGTCAGCTTTTGTACTTAAAACCTCCTGAAGCAACGGATAATGTCAGAGTCGAAACTGGAGTACGACAGAACGACGAGGTATCTGTACATTACGATCCAATGATAGCGAAATTAGTGATCTGGGGAAAAGACAGAAGCGAAGCTCTCAATGTACTTATATCAAAGCTGAGTGAGTACAACGTAAGTAGTGCGATTAAAAAATTGAAAATTCATGAAGGCTGATTACATTGTAGATTGTACAGTGCCAGGTAAAATAATTACATTTAATTGAAATAATTATTTAAACTTGTGTCACAAGAAGAGCAATGAGCCAGGCACGAAGTTAATGCTTAACAAATTACAATATATTACGAAAAAGAATTATACTAATTCTATATCCAAACATTTGGCCTTACATTAGGCCATCCTTAGTGGATTTAGAAATGAAAATTTACAGCATAATCATATTACACGTAATAATTTGTTAAAGTGACAGTGGTTGTCGCTTGCAGATAAAAATACATAGTTTCATTATTAATTTTCTTTAAATTTTAATTCACTAAGCCTTACTTAGATATTTATTTTTGGAAAATTATTTGCAGATCGCTGGTTTGGATACCAACATACAATTTATTAAAGATCTATGTGAGCATCCGAAATTTCAAAGTGGC